TCTCTCTCTCTCTCTCCTCACTCTCTCTTTAAAAAAAAAAATATATATTTATTTTTCAGTATTTGGCGGACACAACATCTTTGCCTGTATGTGGTGCTGAGGATCGAACCCGGGCCGCACGCATGCCAGGCGAGTGCGCTACCGCTTGAGCCACATCCCCAGCCCCCAAACCACAATCTTAAAAGATTAAAACCCCAAATGTAGAAATCCCAAAAGGTGGAATCCAGAAGACTGAAATTCTCATGAAAACAAAACAAAAGGCTCTAGAAAAGGTGTGGAAAGCCCAGTTCTGGGGAAGGGATTGGTCATGTGATATGGCAATTATAAAAACTTAAGTTTAAAGATGTGTCATCTGCCAGGTACAATGCCGCATGCCTATAATCCCAGTGGCTTGGGAGGCTGAGGCAGGAGGATCACAAATTCAAAAACCAGCTTCAGCAAAAAGTGAGCCACTAAGTAACTCAGTGAGATCCTATCTCTAAATAAAATACAAAACAGGGCTGGAGATGTAGCTCAGTGTTCTAGTGTCCCCGAGTTCAATACCCAGTACCAAAAAACAAACAAACAAACAAAACAGACTCAGCAAATTGGCAAGGTCCTCAGCAACTTAGTGAGACCCTGTCACTGAACAAAATATAAAAAAGGCTAGGGATGTGGCTCAGTGGTTAAGCACTTCTAAGTTCAATACCCAGTACAAAAAAAAAAAAATGTCATTTGCTAGGAGCAGTGGCACATGCTTGTATCCCAGCTACTTGGAAAGCTGAGGCAGGAGGATCTTGAGTTCAAGACCAGGCTGGAAAAGACAGTGAGACTGTCTCATTAAAAACAAGAAAAGAAAGAAAGAAAAAAGAATTACAGGAATTTTTTTAATGAGTTAAAGCTGCATTTACTTGAACAAGGCAATGAAGTTGGGGCTGGGATTGTGACTCAGAGGTAGAGTGCTCACCTGACATGCATGAGGCACTGGGTTCGATCCTCAGCACTACATAAAAATAAATAAAAATAAAGGTATTATATTCAACTACAACTAAAAAATAAATATTTAAAAAAATATTGTGTCCACCTATAACTAAAAAATGAATATTTTTAAAAAGGCAGTGAAGTTACTAACTTAAAAGTAATTATATTATGGTAAGATAAGACACTTAGACAACAATGTTGCTGTTGCTGTTTGATCATCAGAACTGCTTCCAACAATCTGTGGTCTGTATATAAATACATGCCAATGGGATGTCCACCTACACAGAAGCAGGGCACAGAAGGTGGCAAAATTTAATAGGGGATGCATATCAAAATCACATAAAAATTTTTTTTCAGGAAGAGCAGCACCATGTAGAAAATGAATGTGAATATATTCTCCAAGGAAAGCTATGTCAAAAACCAAAACCAACTGGGCACAGTAGCACATGCCTGTAATCCCAGCAGCTCAGGAGGCTGAGGCAGGAGGATCACTCAAAGCCAGCTTCAGCAAAAGTGAGGCGCTAAGTGACTCAGTGAGATACAAAATAGGGCTGGAGATGTGGCTCAGTAGTTGAGTGCCCCTGAGTTCAATCCTGCGTACCAGAAAAAAAAAAAAAAAGAAAAACATCACCATGCAAAGACTTCTAAAGAGTTAATTATGCACGCTGGCCAACTCATATGGACTACCTCTGCATAACTGCCCATAATCTATCCTGTAATATTTTTTTATGTGTCAAATTTTCTTTTCTATTTTTCTATTTTTTTCTTTTAAAGTTTTTTCCCACTATTTAAAATTGTCAGCATTTTTTTACAGTTCTTTACTATGCATTTCATCTTTTAAGTTTTTTTATTTATTCTAATTTGTTATATGTGACAGAAGAATGCATTTCAATTCACAATACACATATAGAGCACAATTTTTCATGTCTCTAGTATGCAATTCATCTTTACATTATTTCTAATACTAAAGATGTGTAAAAAATTTTATAAGAGTTCTAGTTTAATGCATTTTTTGCAAATTTGACTCCTTGAAAGTGCACTATTTAGACAATGATTTTATGTGAAAGCAATGTGTATTTATATAAAAATGTTGAAAGTTCCTCAATAAATGAAGAGATACCCTTTTTATACATCTGAATTGTGAAAGATGAAATTTCTTGAGACCTCCATTCTTTGGGCTACTGTATATATATGCAGTGGTGACCCACTGTAGTTTTTGATTCCTCTTCAACGAAAGACTAAGGCTGTCTACATAATTTTTTGGTATTTCAGATGGTTGCAGTTATACAGCTGGGCAACATTTGTTTACCAACCACAGTGGTATGTGTTCACACATTTCACTTTTGACATCTTTCTTTCATTTTTTAAAAAATATGGAACGCTTCAGAATATGCATGTCATCCTTGAATAAGGGCCGTGCTGATCTTCTCTGTATCATTCCAATTTTAGTATATGTGCTGCTGAAGTGAGTACGACATGTTTCTTTATGAATACAGTTTGTCCATATTGGTTATAACCATGTGACTGCTCAGTGTACCTGATGTTTATGCTTGCAAAACTGTATACTATCATTGCCTATTTTTATTGTGTAAAGCAGCCTATGAAGTGCTCTACTGATTTTTATGTTTCTTAAATCCTCTTTTTAAAAAAATATAGATAAATGTATTTTAAATTTTTTTCCCAGAATTATATTTTTGAGATTTTTATCTTTTGGGATTTCAGACTTAAGTGTTTGATCTTTTAGGATTCCAACATTTGGGATCATGGAGTTTGGGGTTGTAGCCCAAACTTTCCTTCACATATGAGACAGGTAATTTTCCCCTTTTATTCTGTTAATGTCCTATATTACATCCAATGATTTTAAACAGATATCCAACTTTATGTTACTGGGTTGATCATTATCTTTTCTTATTGTTGGATTTTTTTTGCTGGGTCTGGAGTTTTCCATGTAGGAAGAGTTTTAAATTACAAATTCAGCTTCTTTAGCACTACAGGGATATTCAGAGTTTATATCTACTTGTGACATTGTTGGCAAGTTGTTTTTGAATAATTTGTTCATTTTATCCAAGTTCTCTACTTTGTTGTCATAAAGTTGTTCATACTCCATTAATACTTTAGTATCTAAAAATCTATGGTGACATCACTCACTTCTGATAATTGGTAATTCATATTTTCTTTCTGTTTTTACTCAATCTTGCTAGAGATTTATCAATTTTAATTTTTTTCCAAGAATGAACTTTTGTCTTTAACTTGCTCTTTTCCTAATTTATTCTTTTTTTTTTTTGCAAGTGGTTTTAATTATTTTACCACAATTTCCCCTTGTTTTTTACTATAATTTATTCTTGAGATATCCACATAACATAAAATTCACCTTTTTTATTACATTATTATTACTTGGACTTCTTAGCTTCCAGAACTATGAAATAAACCTCTTTCCTTTATAGGTTACGCAGTTTTCTGTGTTCTATTATTATCATTATTATTACTTTATTTTGAAACAAATTCTCACTAAGTTGCTTAGGGCCTCACTAAATTGCTGAGGCTGGCCTTGAACTTGTGATCTTCCTGACTCAGACTCCCAAATCACTGTTATTACAGGTGTGCACTACCACACCTGGCCCTCAGGTGTTTAGTATAGCAACAGAAAACAAACTAAAACATTTAGCTAATGTTCCATCTGTGCTTGAAACAAATATTCATCCTGCAGTTATTAGGTGGAGATGTTTACTGTCAATTATATCATGATAGTTGAAAATACTGTTCAGATTTTCTATATTGTACTGCTTTTTGGTCTAGTTGTTGTCTCAGTTACTGATTAGAGAGGTTTTGAAATATCTGGCTACAATTGTGCATCTGTTTTTCCCTTCAGTTTGTCATTTTTTGTAGCTTTGTTATTAGGATTGTATCTTTCTGTTTAATTGACCCTTTTCTAAATGTCTAATTTTCTTTATCTTAAAGTTTACTTGGTCTGATGTTCATATAGCCAACAAGAATTCTTATATATTCTATTTGCATAATACATTATTTTACTTTCTGTGTACATTAAAAGTGTTTCTTTTAGATATATAGTGAGTTTTGATTTCTGTATGTGTGGGAGAGGTACTAGGGATTGAACCCAGGGTGTCATATGTTGTAGACAAGTATTCTACCAATGAACCAGTCCTCCAGCCTGAATCTTGACTTTTTAATATTGTCTAATAATCCCTTTTAATGGGAGTATTAAATTGTAGGTTTTATATTTAAAGGAAGTATTAATATGGTTGGGTTTAAGTCTACATTAGTTTGTTGGAGTTGTACTACAGATTCTTTGTTTCCCTCAAAATCTTTTTTTTTTTTTAATTTATATGCAGTGCTGAGAATCAAACCTAATGCCTCACTCATATAAGGCAAGCACTCTACCACTGAGCCACACAACCCCAGCCCTGTATCCCTCAAAATTCACATGAAAGAAACTTAATCTTCAATGCAACAGTGTTGGCAGGAGAGGCCTTCAGGAGGTTTCAGGTCATGAGACTGCACTCACAGATGGATTAATGCCACTATAGGAGTGGATGTGAGAGTGGATTCAATACTCTTGTCCTTCTCCTCCTTTGCCACATGACAGCATGGAGTTCATTCTCTCTTGTACTTCTTTCTACCTTCTACCATGTGCAGACACAGTAAGGTCCTCACAAGCTGTGATTGCTTGATCTCGGACGCCTCCAGAACTATGAAATAAATTTCTGTTCTCTGTAAATTACTATGTCTTACAGGGCACAGTGGTATACACCTATAATTCCAGTGACTCGTGAGGCTGAGGCAGGCAGATTGCACATTAAAAGCCAGTCTTAGCAACTCTGTGAGACCCTCAGCAACTTAACAAGACCCTGTCTCAAAATAAAAATTAAAAAGGGCTTGGGATGTAGCTCAGTGGTAATGCACCACTAGGTTCAACCTCCAGTACCACTCCATAAAATTAGTTTCAGGTAAGCACAAAACAAACACAGATTGCCTAACAAAGAACCACAGATAAGTGTCTTAAACAACAGAGATTAATATTCTTACAATTCTGGAGGCTAGAAATATGAGATCTGTTTGCAGGATTAATTCCTTTTAAGGGTCCATAAGAAAAGGATCTAGGGGTTGGGGATGTGGTTCAAGCGGTAGCGCTTGCCTGGCATGCATGCGGACCGGGTTCGATCCTCAGCACCACATACAAACAAAGATGTTGTGTCCACCAAAAATTAAAAAATCAATAATAAAATTCTCTCTCTCTTTAAAAAAAAGAAAGAAAAAAAGAAAAGGATCTAATCGAAAGTTCCTTTTTTGACCTATAAATTGCCATCTTTATATCCTCTTTCCTCTGTACATGTCTGTGTTTAAATTTTCTTGAGAGCATCAGTCATTTGGATTTAGGGCTCACCTTAATGAGCTAATTTTAACTTAATACCTTGTAAAGACTCCACCTCCAAACACAATCACATTCCAAAGTATTGAAGGTTAGTTCTTCAACATACTTTTCTGTGTGTGCAGGCTGAGGACTGAACCCAGGGATTTGTGCAGGCTAAGCATGCACTCCCCCTTTGCACTACACTCCTAAACCCTAACACACATTCTGAGGAGAGACAAATTTAGCCCATAACAAAGTCTATCAGCTTGAGCTTTTTCTTTGTCCCATATGGTTTTTTTCCTCTGTTGTTTCCTGACTTTGAGAAACTGAAATAAACAATTTGTTTACATATAATTTGTTAGTTAACATATTATAAAATTACATATTGAATATATAAAATATAGAGTATAATTAATATTACATTTGATTTCCTCTATTTGCTTTTCGGCTATACCACTTTTTATTATAGTTGCTCTAGAAATTATGATATACATCATTAATTTGCCAGTCTAATTGCAACTTGTTGGTGTTTCACAAATATAAAAATAACAATTTTATTTACTCCCCATTCTGTGCTAGTATTATATATTTTACTCCTCCATATATCATGAACTGTATCTTACAATAGTAGTGGTTTTGCTGTAAACAGTCACTTGTCTCCTGTGAGAAAAGAGTAGAAAATAAAACTATTCTTTTGGGGCTGGAATTGTGGCTTAGTGGTAGAGCTCTTGTCTAGCATATGAGAGGCACTGGGTTCAGTTCTCAGCACTGCATACAAATAAGTGAATAAAATAAAGGCCCATCAACATCTAAAAAATTTTTTTAAAAAAACTATAATTTTTATCCAGATAGTATCATTTCTGTGGCTCTTTATTACTTCCAATAGATCCACTTTTCAAATTTCTTTCCAGCCTAAATAACTTCCTTTGTATATCTCATAGGGTGAGTCTGCTGAAAACAAATTTTCTTTTTAAGTTTTCTGAAAATGTATTTCTCTTTATTTTGAAAAATATTTTCATTGGACATAGAATTGTAGATTGAAATTCTTTTTCTGTCAATACTTTGAAGGTGAGATTCCACTGTTCATGGCCCTTTCTTCTGCCAAGCCTTCTCCAATATCCTTTCAAGTCCTTCCAATGGATTTTCATTTCAGATATTGCCCTTTTCAATACTGGAATTTTTCAGTTACTGTTCACAGTTTCAATTTCTCTTCTGAGATTCCCTATTAAGACCACCCTATTTTCCTTTAAGCCCTTAAACATTTATAGTAGCTACTTTAAACAACCTTGTCCACTAATTTCAATATCTGGGACATCTCAGGATATATTTCCATAGATTGCTTTTTTTTTTCTTGATTAAGGGTCACATTTTCCTCTTTCCTTGAATAACTAGTAATTTTATTATTATAGTTAGAGTTGTCTAGATTTTTAATACTTTCTTTTAAAGAACATTGAGTTTTGCTCTGGTAGGCGATTCATGTCTAGTAATTCTTCTTGATTTTATTTTTAAGACTTTATCTTAAGCCTATTTAAAATAACTCTCACACTATGGAAGGGGTTAGTGACCTCTGTAAAGAGCCAATTAGTAAATGATTTTCAGTTTCTCAGGCCATATGGTCTGCCACTATAGTGTATAAGCAGTCAGACAAAATGTAAGCAAATACACAGGCTTGAATTTGGCCCATGATGAGCCATATTTGGGCCAGCTCTAGTTTGACTGCCCCTGCTCTAGTCATGGTTTGTTTGATTCATTCTTTCATTCATGCATTCATTCATTCATTCATTCATTCTCATACTACTGCAGTGCTGGAGATCAAACTCAAGGCCTTGCATTTGCTAAGCAATTGCTCTGAAACTGAGCTACACCCCCAGATCTTTTTAATTTTTATTTTAAGACAGGGTCTTGCTTAATCTGCCTGGTGTCCTCAAACTTGTGATCCTCTTCCTTAGCCTCTCAAGTAACTGGGATTGCAGGTGTGTGCCACAGGGTTGAGCTATGGTGCCTGCTCCTATGATATGGACTTTCTGGTGTCCCAGCTCAATGTCAGGATTTAAATGAGGCATTTCCACTCTGGCTAGGACAGAACATAAATTCTCCCAGCACT